CATGGGTGGAGCCTCTCCGACTCTCTCAATGAGGTCGCCTTTTGCCGTGGCGAGATGGCCAATCTTTTGCAAGCCCGTCCCCGCCCGCCACGACCACCCCCTGCTCCCTCAGGGGGTAGTAAAGGTGATCGCAAGCGTCCCTTTGGTGCTGACACTCCCGGTTCCGGTTCAGAGACGCCTCACCGCCCGGGCAAGGCCGACACTCCTGCTAAGCCTAAGGGCAAAGCCAAAGCGTCGCCTAACCCGCCTCCGAAAGGGTTCGATCCGTCGTGGTTCCGCACCATTAACGGGAAAGAAACGTGTATGCGGTTTGCTGTCGGAAAATGCACCAAAGAGGACTGCCGTTTCTTCCATGGCTGTCCGGTTCCGCTGTCTAATGGCAAACCCTGCGGGCAGCCCCACACAGCCCTGGAGCACACCAAGACACCACACTGAAACGGTCTTCGCCCTGCGGCGGCTGCTGTTCCGTTGCCGTCTCCGTTGACGCAGGATGCTGCTCGCCCTTCGTCGTCGGCCCTTGCGGCCCTGGGGCCTGATTCCGACTCTGTCACGGCTTCGCCTGGCCCTTTGCAGGCATCTTCTCCAGATCTTCGGCCCCCCTGTGCCGCTAATTTTCCTCTGTCTGGGTCGACACCGGCTCCCCCTGCGCCGACTGCTGCGCCGCTGAAGCGTCTTTTTCTGGACCTGTTTGCAGGCGCGGCTTCGCCGGTGTCCAAATGCATCGCACGTCTTGGGTGTGCCCGTCTGGAACCGGTCGATCTCTTAGTGGGACCGGCGCATGATCTCTTGAACGACTCCACGTTCTCCAATCTTCAGCGTCTCTGCTCTTCTGGTCTGGTTGGTGTCGCAGCGGCGGCCCCCCCGTGCTCGGCCTTCTCCCGTGCGAGACTCCGACCATGTGGCCCGCCGCCTGTCCGCACTCTCAATCATCCTAAGGGTATCCCACACCCCACGCCATCCCAGGCAAAGGAGCTGCAAGCGTCCTCACTGCTGCACTCCCGCACTCGTTTTCTTTTGCACTTAGTCGCGTGTCGGGGCGGCCTGGTCTGGCTTGAAAATCCGTCCTCCAGCCTACTTTGGTTGGATCCGGACGTCACCGCCTGGTGCCGCCTCACTGCCCCCTACGTGGCCACGGTCGCTGCTTGCCAAATTGGTCTTGCATTGCACAAGTCCTGGTCATTCTTCTGCAATGACCCTGGGATTTCTGCACTTGCATCCGTATGCCCGCATCCGTTCGGGTTTCATCCCGCGGTGTCCGGCAAGAGAGCATCTGATGGCTCCTTCCTTACGCGAAACACGGCCGCGTACCCGCACGCTCTTGCCCAGTCCCTGGCGGAACTGGCTTCACCCTGGCTCACGTCGGTGACCTCTCCGTCTGAGGCCGTGTCACTGGTGGACTGGCAGACTCTGCTTCCGCCACGTCTGCTTTGGCCCGATCTCAAACATCGGATTGAAGATGGCGCTGGTACATGCAGCACGGCTCGCCCGTCCCCGGCATCTTCCAGCGACCCCCTCCGCAATCTTCGCGCGGCATGGTCCCGTCGTCTGTTAAGCGAGGGCCTGGCCGTGCGCATTGCGTCGGCTCTCAATTCTGGGCGCCGTGATCCGCCTCTGTCTGAGTCGGAATTGGAACCGTTTTTGTCAGATCTTAGGGTCTTTTTGGGGGTGACCGATGAGGCCACCTGGAAGCATCTCACCTCGGT